CATATAAGACCCAAGGGAATATTAAACAGTATTTTCATTATGGCTCTAAGGGGGGCGGGTATAGCAATAATAAAGCCAATATTATTTACAAAATATCCTTATGATAACTTAGACTAAATCCCGTAACAAGAACCCAGGATACCTTCCCACTCTCGCTCAGGTTTTCGAGAGTACAGCCATTGGCTCAGGGTTTAGAGTTTAGGGTTTCGCTCAAACTCAAGGTAGCTGTGGGGTTTAAGAGTGTGGGGTCACATCGGTTGTAAGGGCAGTTCATGGTTGCTCCCGTGTTCAAGGAGGTGCAATTACGAAAACCATGTTTGAAAAGTTTGGTTTGCGTCTTTCCGGTGTGCGATTTACATGCTTTATCGATTTCAGCAGCTGAACATGTTGAATCTCAATCGAAACATGGACTCAAGTGATTGACGTTTAGGGATACCTGCTGACCGAGAGAGACGGAGCGCAGCATAAACTGGTTCCTGCACTCGCAGCAGGAACCGCAGGAGAGAGCACAAGCAATCCCAGCAACTAGAGAGCTAAATCCTAAACCCTAAACCCTCAACCCTAATTCTGCTTGCCCGTTGGCTTCCTCGTCACGTCTTCGCCAGCCGTGTGCACACCGGCTCGAGCTGCATACATCATTTGAGTGCAGTCGGCCCAACGTCTATCTCCCCGGCCCGGGTTTAGGGCTTCCCTTAGCCCTGAATCTTGGAGAACCTACCTTTTTTAGGGTTCCCTATTATGATTTCCTTACAAAAGTCCTTAAAAAGGTAGGTTCTTCAGGGTTAAGGTAGGGTTTAGGGTTTAGCGTAGGAGGATTTGAGTTTAGGGCTTTATGGTCTAGCGCGGAACGCACCGTTTGTCGTGTCTTTGAGTTTGCGAGCTCCAGGAGCATCGACAGGTACTGTAGCTATAACAACCTGATTGTTTTTCCCCATGACCCTAAACTAAGCGTGGATTACCAATAATAAATCAAGAAACCCTGCCCCGTACCCCCCAAGCTAGTATAAACGAACCCTAATAAAGGCCCAAGGTTTCTTAATCAGGTTCCTACATTACCCTTCTAGATCCCTTATAAAGATCCCCTACAGATCCCCTAAAAGCATATTTAATGATTAAGGCTCCTACATGATCCTGATTATTTCTAGAAGCCCGACAGCCTATTCCGAGTGGGAAGACTCCAGCATTTCCAGCACCACGCGACTACCCTCTACTATACCCTAAGGGGGAGTTTCCGACAATTAGGGGTACCTCACTTTGGGGCCCTTGTATATATATATACACACATATATATTGCCAGGACCTCCTCGACGCGGAAACGGAGCTTGGGAAAGAATCCGGCATGAACCCCATGCTGGTGCTGAAGAACATCAGCTCACCAGTTGCATTTTAGGAGGGTTTAGGGTTTTAGGTTTTCTTAGGTTTAGGGTTTAGGGTTTAACGTTGTGGATCTCTGAAGATGGTTGCATTTTATAGTAAACCCCAGAAAGTTGGAACATGGCTTTAGGAGGATTAGTGCTAGGATCCCTTTTACTTTACTTTAAGGGCATGAGGCTAATGATGTTCCAACTTTCTGGCTTCTACTGTAGGAGGGTTCAGGGTACAAGGTTTTAGGATTTCAGGGGTCTAGGTTTAGGGTTTAATGTTGTGGATCTCTGAAGATGGTTGCATTTTATAGTAAACCCCAGAAAGTTGGAACATGGCTTTAGGAGGATTAGTGCTAGGATCCCTTATACTTTACTTTAGGGGCATGAGGCTAATGATGTTCCAACTTTCTGGCTTCTACTGTAGGAGGGTTCAGGGTACAAGGTTTTAGGATTTCAGGGGTCTAGGTTTAGGGTTTAATGTTGTGGATCTCTGAAGATGGACTACAGGGGTACCTGGTTTCAGGGGCCCCTAGAAGAAGAGCCGAATTATTCAAGTTGAATTGTCCTAAACCCTAAACCCTAAACCCTAAACCCTTAAGCCGGAATTGTTGGGTACTTAAAGGGAGCATGAAACTCCCACTAGGATGTCCTTAAGGGGGGTAGGTAACCTAGTAATCCCCATTATTCCCCAATACTCCCTAAGCTTCCCTAAGGTTCCCCAAAGCTCCCTAGTACCCTCCCCCCTTGAACCACCCCCCCTTTAAGGATCCTATAATCCCACTTGGAGCCGCTATTCCCGAAGGCAGCAACTATGTCCAACGGTTCATGACCTCAGTGCATCTCTGAAATTAGTACTCTAAGCCAGGACTATCGCCCCATGCTGCCGATCTATTATGATTATGCTGGCATATATTTGGAGGATCATGAGACTTAGTAACTAGGGGTACAGGGTACTTATAACTTATAACCTCATTCACTACGTCCCATGATCCGGGGCCTTGATACCTATAGTAAGGATAATAAGGACTTAATACTTGTAATAAGGCCTACTTAGGGAAGTATGGTCCCCTAACCCCCTCCCCCTGCCCCCCTATCCAAGTAAACCTTTGAAGAGCCAAGGAAACTTGAGCATCTATTGGGACGCCCTCGGCCCTTCGGAGGAAGCACTGGCTGAGGAACAGCGAAAGCGGTTAGGCGCCATGTGCCCCTTGGCACCAAGAGCTTAGGGTTTAGGGCTTGGGGTGTAGAGTTTAAGGTTTACGAGAGGTTTCATCAATTTATGGGTCTCATCGTTAGGATGTAGTGTTTAAGTAGCAACTAGTGTTTGATTTGATTCTTGTTCAGGGCTCAGGGTTTAGGGTGAAAGTCCTTATAATTGCTAGTTCGGGTTTCTAGCTATCCGACTACGACTGTGAGTGGAGATCATGCTTTTCAGCATTGAGCAGGACACGTTACATGACTAGATCGCGGCTTTGAGGATTTAGGGCTTAGGGTTTAGGGTTTAGGGGTTTGTTCTGCACGTGCGGACATCGGAACATGCATTTCATGACATCGATCGAAAGGCACATTATGATCCGGTCCCATTGCAGGCCCGTCCGTCGTGCCTGTCCCGTGCCCGTCCCGTCCCGACATCGAAACAATTCGAGCCGAACTCTATCTTTAGTTGTCATGGCAATCTTTTCGACGCCCGGGGGTAATTTCTCTTTGGCAATGGATTGCCTTTCTCACTCCTGCCCCTGAAGCTTCAAATCGCAAGCGCTGAAAGCCTTAACGCCCTAAACCCCGAAACCCTAAAACCGCGACCCTGAAAGCGCTAAAGCCTAGGTTCCTGAGTAGTACCCTTTGCCCTTTTTAATGTTGGGTCTCCTTAATTAGCTGAATATTAGGAAAGGGTGGCCCTCATGATTAGGGGGTTCCTGAGGAACCTAGGTAGAACAGCACAAAAGAGATACTAACATACTAACACCCTAAGCTCCAAAGCCCAGGCGATCTGATGCGGTCCAGAATCACTTCCTCTTACGAGGAACACCCGGAGAAGCGGCCAGGATTGTTGAAGTTTTCGGAGGCCTTTGATTCTGCCACTTGCTTACAATCCCAAGAAAGTGGAGTCAGTGTTTGAGTGTTGAGTGCTTTAGGCTTTGGGGTTTAGGGTCAGGGTTTAGGTGGTTTTAGTAGGACAATCAAGGGAAAAACTCTTGAGGGCTTTCCGGCTTGATGGTTTTAGGATCTCAGAGTTCAGTGTGAAGGGTTTAGGGGTTCGAGTAGGGTCATAAGTTGCCCGGGACAGAGAAGGGGGTGCATCCTAACTAGACTTCTGTGTATAGCCGGCTTACCAAATCCCCCGAGCCTTCAACGAGCACAGTACAGAAACAAGCCCAAACTGCGACCCCCCAACGCGAAACCCCCAAATCCTCAAACCCTTAACCCTTAAAGACTGTAACACCTTGACACCCAAACCAGAAACCCTAAAGCCAGACTTGGAAGGCAACACAAAAGAAAGAAAAAGAAAGAGCCGACGCAAGTCTAAAACAAAACCAAAACCCCAAACCCTATAAACCCTAAACCCCTGAACCCCTCAACCCTGAACCCGAAACCCGACGCCGCCCGTCTCAGGCAATCCAAGGACTCGCGGGTGCCGGCGACGCGAACTTGGCTTCAGAGCTCCAAGCAAAAGGATGACCACTTCTGATGCCAAGAGCCAACCCAGAGCCTCCAAAACCCCCTTAATTAAGGAATATACCTTAAACTAAAGCAGGATCCCTAATATGATGTAAGGTGTATTCCTTAATTAAGGGGTTTTGGAGGCTCTGGGAAGGGCTTAGGGCTTGCAAGGTTACTACTTGGAGGGTCGGGGGACTTGGTAAGTAGGCAGTAAGTAGACTTATAAGTACCCTAAAAGGGACCCCAATTGGGGTTATGGTACTTATAAGTCCCTAAAATAACCAGTTACTAAGTCCCCCGACCCTCCAAGTATAGTTACTTGGGTTTAGGGTTTTAGGGTTTTCGGCCTTCATATTCACGTCTCAAACAAGACGTCATGATGCCATGGTGCCTTCACCTGCATGACATGTTCAGACGATGCATTGCCAAAGGCAGCGACATCTGGCCAGTGGCAAGCGAAGCAGAAAATTGAGTTGAATCGACTTCCCAGAGACTCCAAAACCCCGTAATTAAGGAATATACCTTAAATCATTTTAGAGGTCCTACTATAATTTAAGGTATATTCCTTATTGAAGGGGGTTTGGAGTCTCTGGGTTTAGCCTTCCTGGGGTCGCAGCCGACTTATATTCCAATCCCAACCCTACTATAGACCCTCAACCCAAACAGACTCCCTGTGATTACAGTTGACAATTATGACTATTGTTCTTGTGATTTCTATTGTTCGTATTCTCCTATTGTTGTTCGTATTGCCATGCATTGCTGTAAGTGTGTATGGTTTTTGCTATTCTTGATTATTATGGGGCTTCTAAGCCTCCTTAAACCCTAAACCCTAATCTAGGGGCCTAAAAAAATACCAATACGATTTTGGGTGTTCCTTAGTATTGTTACAGTATAATGGGCCCCAAAACCCTATTCTAAGTATTAAGGCCCCTACAGTAAACCCTCAAGATAGCAGCACGTCTCCAGTGACGCCAGGTGCGGATGCGCCGGCCGGCTTATCAGCACGACCGTGGCTGGGTCGAGAGCCAGGCCTGAGTTTCCGATATGGCGAAGTACCATAAGGGATTCTTCAAGGGTTCTATAAGGGATCCTTTAAGGGTTCCTTTAAAGGGTTCCTTTAAGGGTTCCTTTAAAGGGTTCCTTAAAGGGATCTACAAGGGTCCTATAAACGGTCCAGGGTTTAGAGTTTCCGAAAATTAGGGAGTACCTTATGGGGGGTCGTTATAATTAGGACCCTACTATTCAGGGTACTATATTAGGGTCCCCCTATTTTCGGAGACTCTCACAGGGCGAAGTACTACACTAGGTTCCTGAGTAGTACCCTTTTGCCCATTTTTGTTTTGGGTCTCCTTATTGAAGGTGAACATTCCGAAGAAGGGTACCCTTATTATGAAGGGGTTACTGAGGAAGAACCTAGTTAGAACAGAACGAGTACGTCCGCCACTTAGGATTTAGGTTAGGACTCGGAAATCGGGCCTAAGAGCATAGAGTCACCTATACTACGTCCTAGAGCTATAGAGGTGTCCCACACCCTGAGGGTTTATACACCCATATAACATGTACTTGGCGCTAAAGCACCTGTACATGTCTTCATTTTGTAAGGCCAGAGTATATACTATATTTGTACATGGACCCTTACTTGGAGGATCATGGGACTTAGTACGTAAGGTGTATAAGTACCTAATTGGAGTTACAAGTATAGTTTCCTTCATTTAAAACCGTAGTTACTAAGTCCCATGATCCTCCAAGTAGGGAAATCTGCTTTGAGGCTGTGAAGTTCCAGATTCCTAGCACCAGCTTCGAGCTCGCCTGTGAACGCAAGCCCACCAGTACTGCTTGGAGGATGATGGGACTTAGTAATTGGGGTTATAGAGAAGGAAACTATACTTATAATTGCTTATAACCCCATGTAGGGTACTTATATAACCTGACTTACTAAGTCCCATGATCCTCCAAGTGAGCTCCATGCAGACATGCCAGGGTTTAGGAGTTTGGATTCAGGGTTTAGGGTTCAGAGTTTAGGGCTTAGGGTTTAGACTTCAGGGTTTAGGATATGGTTTAGGGTTTAGGGTTGATATGGAGGTGAGTTCCATGTTGCTAAACACATGGCTACCACTCTCACGCAGCATGAGCATGCCGGAGCTGTCGAAGTGTCCATGTCTGATTCCCGTTACGATGGTTAGAGGCACGTGCAGAAAACCCACAGCACGTACAACAAATGGGTAGAATGAAGGCAGCAGTTTGCTCTTCGACCCCGGAACTATCAAGGTCCCCATACTAAACCCTTATGGTAACCCTTACAGACCCTTTTAGACGCAACCCTTTGTGGAACATTGCCAGAGCAGCCATGGATGCAGAAAGCCAGCTGCGCCGGTTGCGCAAGAACGTGGAAGAGCAATCCCAGCAGATCGAGAGGCCGGGTACCCGGGGGGGCCCGGGGGGCATGCTTTCTTGGAGGCTTTGGGGTCGTGGGATTTGGGATTGTCCACTTAGGGTTTAGGGGTTTGGGGTTGCGGGCTGGTGTGGTTTCAGCACTCGATTGAACTTCGCATCGAAACCAGGGGCCGGAAACAAACGACACAACCCCCTCAACCCTTACAATTAAGTAAGTGAGGTCCTCTTGCAGGCAGTGCAGCCCGGGAAAAAATCGGCTGAAGCACCTAGGTGCATGTCGACGCAGCAGATAAAGCTTTGCTTGACATGACCGTGATCGTTCCCTGTGTGGTGGCAGGGCCTTACAACCCTGAAACCCCCCAACCATCGAGCCATGTAACCCCTAAGCTTAAGCTTAACCCTAAACCCTAAACCCTACCCTATCCCTCCAAGGACTTCATAGTTAGGGCCCTAGACCCCTTAAGGACCCCATAAGAAGGTCCCTGGAGGCATAGGGCTAGGCTTCAGGCTTAAGCGGAGGTAAGTCAACAGGGAACCCGCAAAGTAACCTTAGACTGAGAGTCAAAGGGGAAAGGGAGGGACCCTTAATGGGCCCCTACCCTATAATGGGCTAGATAATGGGTATATAATAGCTATATTAAGGGTACATACCTAGGGGTCCTGATTAAGGGTCCCACCTTTTCCCCTTTGAGAGAGGCTGACGTCGGAGCTTGGGCAGCAGAGCCGCCTGGTGAAGCTCTTAGATGAGATGCCTCGCAGCACCAAGGAATTAGGTTTAGGGAGTTTAGGGCTACTATAGATCTTACTAGAACGGATTGCTATGAGGGTTTAGGGGGGGTTGGGCTTTAGGATGCAGGTTTAGGATTCAAGGGTTGACGGCGAGGGTTTAAGGTTCCAAATTGTGCCGTTCAAGGGCTTGCTACATGCATAAGAGTCGCTGGGTTACACTAAATTTCCCAAGCCCTCGACCCTGCAACCTTGGAATTAGTCCCAAAGCCGCACAACCCAAAGCCCTAAACCAGAAAGCCTATCCCGCAAGGAACGCTTATGAAATTCTGATTGAACTCTAGACAGCCTACCAAGAACGCCCTAAACTCTATAGAACCCGTCAGAATCCCGAGACGTCGCACTTGTTCCAAGGAATCTGCAGCAGACGTCACAGCAGACCTTTGCCTTGGAGTACCGTCTGTCCAGTTTCCGTGTTGCATTGGTATTTAGGGTTTTTCCTGAACACCGAACAACCTACTACCTACCGTTTTAGTCACCGGCACAAACCCTAAACCCGAAGTCCTGAACCCTAAACAAGAAAATCAGATTCAGGAGGGATAGGTCCTCAGGCTCCGGGTAGGGTTTACGGCAGGGGCTTGGGACTGGATAATAACTTTCCCTGGGCATCAACATAGCCCAAAAGCCTTATATAGTATGGTCTTTGGGCCCAAAAAGCCTTAATACATGCGTCCTTAGATGCCTAGGGTTATAGATCCCCTTAAAGGAATCCTTAAGAACCCCTTTAAGATGCCTTTCAATGAGTCCTTGGATGCCTTTAGGGTTTGACCCCACCTACAACCTACCTTATCTGGGCTCCTTATAAGAAAAGATAGGCTACTTGGAGGATGGTGGGCCTTAGGGTTCCTTAAAGGGCTCCTTAAGGGGCTCCTTTTGAAGGGTTCTAAAAGGGATCTATAGGGATTTAGGGTTTAGGGTCTACTTGGAGGATCATGGGACTTAGTAGCTACATAAATGAAGGTAACTATACTTATAACTCCAATTAATTAGGGTACTTATAACCTTAGTTACTAGGTCCCATGATCCTCCAAGTATTCAGATTCCAGGAAGGGCCTACCTTGCAGCATTTAAGAAGTTGGAGGAGGGCTTGAAGGGGACGACTGACCCTAATAAGCCGCGAATCTCGCATTCTTTGAGGACTTCTATAGAGGAGCTGTAGAAATGCAGGTTTCTTCGGGTCCAGGTAGGGTTTCGGACTCAGGTTTCGGCGGATAGTGTGCAGGGCTTTGGGTTCCGGCTTTTTTGAGGGAGGGAGGATGTGGGGGCTACTTCTTCAATGGCGTCTTTTCGATAATCTCGGGCTCGGAATATTCAAATCAGTGTAATCCCTATGTCATCGCCATAATGTACCCCAAGACCCTTTTCAGACTATTAAGGTCTGTATGTTAGGCGTGTGCAGAGTGCAGAGCGTTAGGGTGAGGAGGGCAGGCTAACTGACGCAGGGAGTTGGTTGTATAAGAGCTTTACAGGGATTTGACAGGCTTTAGAAGGGGCTTCTTGGGTGTGCAGGAGCCTAAGATCAGCTACCATGAACTCGACAAATCGCAAGCAATACTCACCATGAAGGGCTTAGGTTTCTGGGGATTTGCACGCATTGCTCTCGGCATGTATTGCACATGATATGGGTGGTTGTCAAAATTATGGTCCTTTTTTTGGGAACCCTAAATATTAGGTGCCGTACTATATGAGGGACCCAAAAAGGTACCCTAATTTTGACAATCACCCATATGTTTTCCTTGCTGTGAACACTATAAGCTCTTGACCACCCGAGATTTGGAACACGAGCGCGAGACCAGCCAACGCTCGACACGGATGGCCTTCGTTGCTCGGCCCTCTTCTTCAGTTTTTTGGTTTGAGAGAGCTTACCTGTGGCTTGGGCAAAGCAAACTGCTTCGATCTGAGGGCACTACAGGCGTCATTACCTCAACCTGCTGTTTTGTAGCCCTATCCCTCCAAGGACCTCATAGTTACGGCGCTAGACCCCTTAAGGACCCCATAATAAGGTCCCTGGAGGCACAGGCGTCAGAACCTCAACCTGCTGTTTTGTAGGGGGTTTGGGCTACGTTTGAACCTTAAGCCCTGACTATCCTGAACCCACGACACTGAAGCTGTTGCTGTTTTACGTCAAAAGCGGTGAAGAACTGCCAATCTTATTCCCCAAGGCCCTTTAGTACCACTATACTGTAATGTAATGTAATCCCCCAAGCCGTCTTCTACCTATCAAGGCCCCCATACCAAACCCTTATGGCAGCCCTTGAACAACCTGAAAAGGGACCGGGCAGTGGACCAAAACCCCCAACAATAGAGTAACCCCATCAGGAGCCTTAAAGTAAGCATCATGTCATAAAACCAGCCCTTACAGTAATCTAGTAGACCCTAATCGCTAAATCCAGAATGCTCCTAATAAGCCCTCATCATAAAAACCCTTTAGGGGTGCCTCTAAACGAATCCTACTTTAACTATTAATGCCGCATAGTAGATGCACAATACCCTAAACCCGTTAACCCTAAACCCTAACCCTCCTGACCCTTAGCCCTAACCCCCCGTGCCCTCACACCCGGACCCCCAAGACCCCAAAGCCCAACCCCTGCGCCCCTAAACCCTGAACCCTTCAAAGAACCCCCTAAACCCTAAACCCTAAACCCTGAACCCTAAACCCTAAACCCTAAACCCTGAGGTCCCCCCAAACCCTAGGCCTCCTGAACCCCTGAACCCCTGATCTCCAAACCTTGGGTTAGTATAGCTATGTACAGCCCTTATGGCCCCCCAGTATCCCTTAAACCCTAAGCCCCCTCCCTGAACCCCTACTTGGAAGGGCAGGGGACTTAGTAAGTAGGTTATAAGTAGAG